TGTGCCAACATGTGCACGTGTGAACATGATTTCTCAGTAAAAGAAATGCATACAAATGGGCACCTACCCACCCAGTGCTCAGAGTGCAAGGGTAAACCAATGCTGGAAAATAAGAAGATATTGAGCTGCTGCTGCGATAATAGAGCAAGTAAAATTTGCAAAACACATTACACAAGGAAGAAGGGAAATGACTGTGCCAATGAATCATCTGTTGGCTAAAGTATGAAGTCCTTTGCCACTTTTCATTGTCAAATTACTGTATTGCCCATGGACATCTTATAAAACTTCGTAATAACTGAGCTTTTGAATTTTTGTATACTGCTGTTTGTGTGTTGGGAGGCAGGCTTGATTACCTTGTTACAAAGGTTCCTTGGTGGGGATCTACCTTACTTCTTTGTTATTTGTCTCCATAGCATGAGCTTACTTTCATTTTGTGGATTCTTCATTTTAATCTTCTTTTTTTCATGGTTGTTCAAATTATCAACCTTTAGCACTTCTCCAAAAATAGTACACTGTGCAGTCGAATCTCGTTATAGCAATCCTCAATATAATGTTTATTTTCGAAAATTCCCTTCCAAATGTCCATTGGTTTATTGTAAAAATGTTTCACCACTACAAATTTCAGAATATTGCATGTTTCAGAATAATTTATCGAATTTTGTCTCCCTTACATTTTCAGAACACTCCAAAATGATGAATGACGACTTTAAGAAGCTATTCACGGCTGTAAACATATGCCCAGCTCCGTAGCTGCCACTCTCCTCATGATGAGAATGCTGACATATTTCTCTTGCCTGCACTATTCAATTGTGCGATAGCCCTGTTGCCATCATCATCGTCTGGAACTTGCTTTTCAAGTTAGCCTTTGCCCCGTCATCCTTGCTTTTGTCAGGCAGCTTGACATGCGGGCTGGTTTCTAGCCTTTTTGTTGGTGGTTGAACATTCAAGATGAGCTACGGAAAACAGCACAAGAGGAATGCTTAGACGGTGAAAAATGCAATACGAGAGACCTATTGGTTGAAGTCTCTGATAATAACTCGTTCATGCTGTACTAACGCTCACACAACCTACAGTGCTTCAACAAAGCGTGCATGTGAGCTTAGCTAATGACCGATAAGATCCGTGTCGTTCATTGTGGTAAGGAAATTGTGACGAGAGTAAAGACGGCGTTGAAACAGTGCACGCAAACCCACGTGAAGAATTCGTATTAACTGCTAACATTTCGCAGTGCGTAATAAGGACGCGCCTGCTTACCGTAATAGTTTATTTTCCAGCAGTCGAGCTGCTCACATCAAGATAGACTGCCCTCTTTTTCAAATAAACGGTTCTGTATTACTTCGAGTTTGTTTTTTCGCACTTATTTGAGCATAATGTGGTTGCTCGATAATGTATACACAGCATGGGTATGCAGCTCATGAGTTAATCTTAACTATTTTTGTGCAAATTTTTATTACTTTCTTTAAAGAGACTTCACAATAAAGGATAATATTTAGCGGTTATTTGAGATTTGTTGCATTGAAATTTCACTGTGTATTCACCATTGCTACAGATCCTTCTTATGCGTTATGGCTGCCGTGCAAGAACACTGTGCCACCAGTGGTCCGGGTGCAACTAGCAACTTCGATGAGGACGGCTTGCCTCATGAAGACTATGGCTGTATGTGTGCCTGTTAATTCACTGATAATTTTTTAAATGGTGCATTAGTAGCTGTAAGCTATGTCTGTAGACAATTACCAGCATCATTTGTGGTCTACACTACAGTGTTGCTTGTGTCTGTACAGTCTAGTGTAGAACATACTCACGACTTGCAGTCTTACATACTCACGACCTGCAGAACATACTCACGACCTGCAGTCTGCTGCCTGCAGTCTTGCAACTAACGTGCTGCATCGGGCACTTTGTCCTAGACAAATTGATAACGGGCGCAAATAAATCGCACTGGCGAGCTTAATCAAGAGCAGCACGCGTGGAACCAAATTTGGGTGCTGGGGCTTCGTTGTGGGGTTGTGACATTTGGGAGGCCATCTTCATGCACAGCGTGAACTAGTGGTGCAATTTTTATACGCGTTCCGAATCCGGACGGAGGCGGTTCCATTTTATGGAGTCACTCGTGATTGGTACATTGAGCCGGGGGAAATGCGTGACGCTCTGTCACGTGACAGGACAGAGGCGTTTCGCTCCATCGCGTCACACCGGATGGCTCATTTATTTATTTATTTATTTTTACCTCAGGGGACACAGTACATTTCAGAGGGGAAGGCTGTCCAACAATGAAAAAAAAAACAGCCAATACAAAGCAAATGGCATTAAAATGTCACTAATTGGGGTACAAAGATTATTACTCCTAACACTCACATCAGATAAAGCAAATGATAACACTATTTTATTTATTGCATGTGAAGGCAAAAAGCAATACAAGTAAACTGTTCAACAAACATACGGGGGGTAATTAGGTAATAATTGTTATAGGACACATTTCTTAAATGAATGGGTTCTATGATGCTTGATTATTGTGGGGGATTGCAGGGCAGGGAATTCCATTCATTACAAGTTCTGGGAAGATATGAGTGGGCATATGTTATGTGTTGCAATGGGGACTGTGACTTTTTGTTGGTGATTAAGGCGAAGAGAAATGAAGGGAGCAGCTTGGATTAAACGGGACCGGAGTTTCGGATTATAATAGAATATTTTATGAAACAGACAAATGCGAGTACGCTTTCGGCGGGGTAAACTAGTGGGATGAGGTTTAGAGATGCCTTCATTTGATGGACACTAGCTGAACGATGGTAGCTAGCCAAAATGAAACGAGCTGCAACGATTTTGAATGGATTCCAACATGTGTGATAATGTTACCTGACCGGAGTCCAAACAGATGAAGCGTATTCCATTTGAGGACGGACGTATGTGGTATATAGTATAACTTTAGTGATGATGGAGCAAGAAAGAAGTTCTTCGAAGGTAACCCAGCGTTTATTAGCTTTGGACGCTATATGTTCCGTATGTAAATTTCCAGGACAAGTGTTAGTTATGTGGACTCCGAGGTACCGGTAAGCTGTTACAGTTTCAAGGGGGTGACTGTGAAGAAAGTAAGTTGGACAAGTTGTACTCGACCGCGAAATCCTCATAGACTTGCATTTTCGAATGTTTAGTTCCATTTTACAAATATGACACCAATGAAGTATGTTATTGAGATCAGCCTGCAGAGAATGAATATCATTGTCATTAGATACTTTACGGTAAATCACACAGTCGTCAGCGAACAAACAAATATTGGAAGTAATAGTAGAAGGTAAGTCATTTATATAGATTAGGAATAGCAGGGGGCCAAGTACTGATCCTTGAGGAACCCCAGAATCAACCGGTGCAGTGGAAGAATTAACATCGTTAGTGCTGACAAATTGAACACGAGAAGAAAGAAATGCACGAATCCAGTTAAAAACTGCAGGGTCAATTTTTAGAACACTTAGTTTATGTAAGAGCAGGGAATGGTTAACTTTATCGAACGCTTTAGCAAAGTCAAGAAATATACAGTCAGTTAAAGAAGCAGAGTCCAAAGATAAATGCAAAGCATGTTTCAGAATTTATCGAATTTTGTCTCCCTTACATTTTCAGGAACACTCCAAAATGATGAATGACGACTTTAAGAAGCTATTCACGGCTGTAAACATTATGCCCAGCTCCGTAGCTGCCACTCTCGTCATGATGAGAATGCTGACATATTTCTCTTTGCCTGCACTATTCAATTGTGCGATAGCCCTGTTGTCATCATCATCGTCAGGAACTTGCTTTTCAAGTTAGCCTTTACCCCGTCATCCTTGCTTTTGTCAGGCAGCTTGACATGCGGGCTGGTTTCTAGCCTTTTTGTTGGTGGTTGAACATTCAAGATGAGCTACGGAAACGGCACGAGAGGAATGCTTAGACGGTGAAAAATGCAATACGAGACCTATTGGTTGAAGTCTCTGATAATAACTCGCTCATGCTGTACTAACGCTCACACAACCTACAGTGCTTCCACAAAGCATGCATGTGAGCTTAGCTAATGACCGATAAGATCCGTATCATCCATTGTGGTAAGGAAACTGCGACGAGAGTAAAGACTACGTTGAAACAGTGCACGCAAACCAACGTGAAGAATTCGTATTAACTGCTAACATTTCGCAGTGCGTAAGAAGGACGCGCCTGCTTACCGTAATAGTTTATTTTCCAGCAGTCGAGCTGCTCACATCAAGATAGACTGCCCTCTTTTTCAAATAAACGTGCAATGGTTCTGTATTACTTCGAGTTTGTTTTTTCGCACTTATTTGAGCATAATGTGGTTGCTCGATAATGTATACACAGCATGGGTATGCGGCTCATGAGTTAATGTTTACTATTTTTGTGCAAATTTTTATTACTTTCTTTAAAAAGACTTCACAATAAAGGATAATATTTAGCGGTTCTTTGAGATTTGTTGCATTGAAATTTCACTGTGTATTCACCATTGCTGCAGATCCTTCTTATGCGTTATGGCTGCCGTGCAAAGAACACAATGTGCCACCAGTGGTCCGGGTGCAACTAGCAACTTCGATGAGGACGGCTTGCCTCATGAAGACTATGGCTGTATCTGTGCCTTGTTAATTCACTGATAATTTTTTTAGAATGGTGCATTAGTAGCTGTAAGCTATGTCTGTAGACAATTACCAGCATCATTTGTGGTCTATACTACAGTGTTGCTTGTGTCTGTACAGTCTAGTGTAGAACATACTCACGACCTTTTTTCTTTCTTGCCTTTCTTTGTTCGCTTTCTCCTGGAATAGCAAGGCAGAGACACGGCACCTGTGGTCAGCAACTCTAATGCACCTAAGGTGTCGCCTGTATAGTAACAAAGAAATTGACCTCTTCAAACAATAGAAAAGTGGGCTGCTTGGACATCATGTAATGCGTTTTTTTTTACATGTCGTCAAAGCATTTTTGTCATTCAGTGTAGCTTAGCAACTTGAACTTGCGGTCTTACTTTTTCTTAGGGCGGCCGTCGTCGCGCTGGTGTGGGTCTCGCCATTGCAGCTCAGAGTCATCTGTACAGGACTCTCCGTACGTATTCTTTCATATTGTTTTTAAATTATTTTGTTTATTTTGCAGTGATGTTGCTTCACTTTTCATGTGTTTGCTAGAGATACCTGAACATTCAATGGTATTCTATAGTTTTTCTTAATAGAAATCTGTTATCGATAATGCGTCAAGTGCTACAGCTCATTTGCCATCTAGCGCAAGGGCTGTGAGAGAAGGCAGTGATGTGACAGCTGTGCTGAATGATCGATAGTGCTACAGCCTGCTCTAGTTCCACTATTCTACACCAAACAGTGTGTTTTCATAGTTTGAAAATGAAACCACAGTCTCTCGAGGCTGAAGCATACTCGCATGTATCTGTCCTCATGTGCATGCACCATGCTGCCGTGGTTGTATGTGTAGATCAAGGAAAACGAATGCGCTTGCACACTGGTAGCCGCACCACTTTTCCGTTGCATCATAAACCATTTACTTACAATGCAAGTCGCTGAAGGCAAACATGTACACTTTGATATTTAGAGAGCCCTGATGTGCAAGACGTGTTGGACCGGCAGCAGAGAATTGAGAGAATTGATTGAGAATTCAGTAAATTATTGCCTTAAATTTTCAACTGTACAAAACCTAAGGTTTGTTGTGAAAGTACTCTGCCGAGAAAAAGAATGCAGCAAAAAAAAAAAATTAACCTTGCAGAAAGTTGCCGACTTGCATTTCAAAGCTCCTCACTTATGTGCCAGATTTCTTTGCAGCATGGCAACTGAATTTCTGCTTGCTGTATGCGCGATGTCGAAACCCATGCTGACCGCGAACCCGAACTCGAATTTTGCACATGTACGCTCTCGTTTTCGTAAACGATGCGAGGCTGTGCATTCATAATTGAAAGGTTTCTCTGTACTATCTATCCCTTTTAAAATGTAAATAGTGCAGAGCATTTTGTTGACTCGGGACCATACTGCACATCTGTAACCACTATGAAGAGGTTTTGCAGTTAGTACTCCTTAGGCCTTGCCTGCAGTCTTGCAACTTAGCGTGCTGCATCGGGCACTTTGTCCTAGAAAACTTGATAACGGGCGCAAATTAAATCGCACTGGCGAGCTTAATCAAGAGCAGCACACGTGGAACCAAATTTGGGTGCTGGGTGCTTCGTTGTGGGTGTGAGATTTTGGAAGGCCATCTTTCATGCACAGCGTGAACTAGTGGTGCAATTTTATATGCGTTCCAAATACGGACGGAGGCGGTCTATTCTATCGAGTCACTCGTGATTGGCACATTTGAGCAGGGGGAAATGCCGTGACAGAGCGTCACGTGACGGACAGAGGCGTTTCGCTCCATCGAGTCGCACGGGATTGGCTCATTTGAGCCGTGACGAATGCCGTGACCTTCTATGTCACGTGAGCCAAGGTGTCGCGCGTTAGTTTTCGTCCGTTTCTCATGCGGAGGAGAAGGAACGGTCTGAAGAATCGTCTGAAACGGATGGATATAAATAGCTACGAGGTGGCTTGGATCGGATTTAAATGTAAGCGCTTTGCACCTTTCACTATCCGAATACTTTGAGAACATGGCGTCGCAGCGGGCCTCATGCACTTATGCTGCGATTCAATCCTCCCTCCGTTGTTGTAGCCACCCCGTCTGTTTGTCCATGACCGTTGTCGTAGACAGGCAGACAGACAATCAGACAGGCAGACAGGTGGACAGACAGACAGGTAGACGGACAGATGGACGGACAGACACGGACGGACGCAGGCAGGCAGGCAGGGCAGGGCAGGCAGGCAGGGCAGGCAGGCAGGGCAGGCAGCATCACCGAGTGCGTACTATGTCCTTGTTTGTTGTTTGTGGCACTCTTGAGCACGCTTGTGGAGTGTTCACAGCTACGAAGCCATACATGCACCATGTCAGGAAAGAGGCGACTATACTCGGCAAAAACTTTTCTTGTCCTTGAAAGGAATGCTACGGGGACGGAGATTTCTGCCCATGTAGCCCTACATGAAGTAATTCAATTTACGCGCATCTCGTAATGCATCTCGTAATCTCGATGAAAAGTGGCAGGAGGCACACCATCAGTGTTTGATGTATACGCAGACTCGGGCGCCGCTTAGTCTTTGAGGTATTACGTAAAAAGACGACGATACAGGGCTTTTCACGTGTCGGAAACCCCGTTAAGGTAAATAAATACAACTGTCTTGTTGCTGTGCACTGCATCCTGTTTCGAACTGTTCCACATAGAAAATAAAAAAGGAACTTTTATATTTCACTTTGAAAATGTGTGTACTTTTGCGTAACTACGTTTCATGGCGATAAGATGCATGTGATTTGGCTCTGTAGCCTTCGCTTCAATGCCAGTAAAATCTGTTGCTGAGTATGGGGAAGGCAGAGTCATCAATGCTGTTGTTGAACAGCTCGCAGATGACTGCCTTGAAGCTAGCAGCTTGGATGATGACGATCGCCAGATTTATAGGGTCGATTTTATGAGGTCTCAGATATTGAACGTGGCCTTTCTGGATTCGAAAAAGAGCTGATGTATCTGTGAAAGGCTTTTCACCCAGTCCAAGCTCCGAAATGGAGTTTAAGATGTGCGTGTGAGAGATGATGTCAAACGCTGTTTCCAAGTCAAGACCCAGGATGCCTGTTACGTCGCTTGTGTTCACGTCTATGGTTTGATGTTTGAGCAGCTTGATGTCTGATTTGATGTTTGAGCAGGCCCCGGAGCTGATCGTCATTAAGGTTTTGAAGAACTTCCCAAGCGTCGCTGGTGGACAAGGGCTCTCCGGGCTCAGTGCATGGGGGTTCAGTGTAAGGCGAGTAGTCTGAACAGCTTGAGGAGCCCATGGGTAAATATCTGTGAGCCAAACCATCCGGTATAGCGTCTTCAGAATCAAACTGTCTGGCGGCGTGTATGAGTTTTGCAATGTCTTGCCTTTGATTACTCTTTGAATGTGACTTGTTCAAAAGGTGCTTTAGCAAATTCATTTCTCTCCTATTCTCAATTAGCCATCAACAGAATTGCACACCTCATCCCACTGCTGCCTAGAGAGCGTCTGGCAGTGGTCCTCGATGGTTCGGTTAAGTTTTGCAATTTTCTCGCGAAGCCAACGATTGAGCCTCTGCCGCTTCCACTTATTGAGAAATGATTTCTTGGCCTCTAGGAGGTGCGCAAGGCAACTGTCCATCCTATCCTTTTCAAAATTCGTGTGTATCTTTTTTGTCACCTCACCAACGTCTTCCTTGAGCTGTTTGGCCCATTGATCCAGGCTAGGGGTTGAGTCTCCAACTTGCGGGCATTTTTTTCTGATATGCCGGAAGTAATCCCAATCTGTGAAACTAAACTCTCTTACGGGCTCGCCCTTTACACTGATATGGGTAGCTAGGACATTATGGTCACTACCCAGATCCACGTACAATTCGTGCCAAGTAGCAGATTCAACATTTTTAACAAAGGTAAGATCTGGCGTGGAGTCCCTCGTGCAGGAGTTACACATCCTGGTCGGAAATGCTGGGTCCGGGTCCCCGCAGGGGCGCCTGCGCAAGTAGGCGTTTGGTGTGTAGCAACACCACAGACCCGAGCGAACTGGGGGGGGGGGGGGAGTTTCGGCTCCCTCCCACGCCTAGCCGTGCGTGGCTTTGCCATGTCCGGGGTAAAGGGGATCCGAGGGGTCGAGCCGACGTCGGGTGATTGGACCTTTAAGGCCCCCCGGCGGAGGCAACACACCCCTTTGGCCCCGGCTTCATGTAGACGGCACCCCTGGGCTGACCCACCCAGGGGAAACCGGCAGTCGCCTTTTCCTGTCTCTGCCTTTCTTCATCTTCGTCTTTCCCTCTTACTTTCAATCTTTCCTGATCTCTCCTCTCTTTCAATTTACTTCTGTTTTTCCTGGCGGCAAGGGCTAACCTTGTGTGCCTATCCAAACTAGGGTAAACCATATTGGGTTATAGTAACTGCGTACTGCTGGTGTTGCGCAGACATCCCCACATGCTCTGGCACGTCCCGCTCGTTGGACTCCGTGGTGGGTGGTAAGCGCCGTTACCGAAAAATACACATTTTCCTATGGGATCCTCGACCCCCTCTTTAACTGATCGTGCTTCGAAAAGGGTACGCACTGACGAAACTTCACTACTTTGGCCCCAAAACAGAGAAACTTTCCCAAAATACCATGTCCTCCACTGCGAACAATCATCTACCATAGCTAGAGCAATCTCGCCCTTCCTTGTGGCCAAGTGCTTCAGAAAGACCATTGGAACCGGTTATAAGGCCACGAAGATGGCAAGTGAAGATCTGCTTCTCGAATTAAAAGACAAGGAACGGTACAATAAACTCTCGCACCTCGCAGCCTTTGGTAACATCCCCGTCTCTGTGAGCGCACACCCTACCATGAATACAGTGAAGGGCGTGGTATCGGACGTAGATTTGACGACACTGAGTGAAGAAGAGCTCTTTGATAGATGGAAGGACCAAGGTGTAATACATGTCCAGCGCATCAAAATCGGACGTAACAACAATGAAATAGCAACAAAGCACTTGATATTCACCTTCAACTCAACCCACCCACCCACCTGAGAATGTCGAAACTGGCTATGTAAAACTCCATGTCCGACCCTTCATTCCAGACCCGAGGCGTTGTTTAAAATGCCAGCGATTTGGTCATGCATATCAGAGCTGCCGAGGACAGCCGATGTGTGCTAAGTGTGGCACAACCGGCCACAGTGCTGATGAATGTAGTCATGACGAGGTCCTCTGTGCTAACTGCGAAGGTAGTCACCCCGCATACTCCAGAGCGTGCCCAGCCTGGAAAAGAGAAAAAGAAATAATAACTATAAAAGTTAAGGAAAATATCACATTCAGGGAAGCAAGACAACGGGTGTCGTGATCATTGGCACTAAAAACACCTTTTGCCGAAGTGGTGCAACGAGGGGCGGCACCACAAAGGCCCTTGGCAGTTGCCCGGACCGCGCCTTGCGTGCCGAGGCCAATGCCACAAGCCCCTATGGCGGGAGCAGCCAGCGCTGCCCTGCCCACATTCAGCCTGTCCACA